TCCCTATTACTACCGAGGGCGTTATTGAAAAAGATTAGTCTCTTTTAATAGAAAAAGAATTAAGACTTCCCTACTTCTATCGAGGGCGTTGTTGAAGGGGAGGATACTCATTTAATTGAAAACTATTTAATCACCCCTATTACTATCGAGGACGTAACTAGAAACGAAAAATCAATCTTAATAAAGACCCTGAATGACGACGCTACTCATAATACGCTCCTGAACCCCATGGAGAAAGACCCTGACACGAGCGTCTACTCTTCAGTGATGATGGCTTCTCCGTGTTATGTGAAAACACCGGGCGAATCCCATACAGGTATTGCTGAGAGAACGGAACACGCTATCTATAGTGGCCCGGTAGGTCGCGGAAGGGCTTGTATGTCGTGCGGCGGGAGGTTCTACACCGAAATGGCCAAAAATGAAATTGATGACAATCACAGATGGTTGCGCCTCTAGTGGAGAATCTTGTAAATTCTCTAGGTGAGACACCTGATTTTTGTCCATTGTTTGTGTGTGTACAAACCAACTAGTTAATGTGGTCAGTTGTGAATAAAATGGAGAAAAAACGTGTGACTAAAATACTCGTTCGCCTTCTTTTATGGTACGAACACCTACTCCGATGTACGACACAATATCCGCCAAACAAATCTTCATTTTACTACTGTATTTTTTTAGGAAATAGAAGTACCAAACCACTTTTAAGTACAAATATAAATCGCACAAACAGTACAAACACTGGACACGCTTGCTGCTGTCAAATTTGTCTCTCTTAGAACCGTCATATGCATTTTTACAGCGCCATCTATTTTTCATTTTTTTCCTCAATAGAATATGGAGGCAACGGAAGGAGGATGGCTAGGGACCTTGGCCTATCGGTGGAGCAGGTCAAGTATAGGCGAAGCCTTAAGACATACAACCGAGAGGATTCATAATAATTCCGTATTTCTGAATTTCACACGTTATGGCCCCACTTATTCGAAAACATCCTTGCGACAGCCCCATATCTCCATCAGAGCCAGATGAACCGGACAAGACGACAGTGGACAGTGTTCTATCTCTCCTGTCTACTGAGTTCACCCAGGATTACGCCGACGCGAATCAGAGGGTCTGGGTTGCTTCATCTACATGTGGTGAGAACGGCTTGGACCAATCTTCCGTTATGGACAATTCTTCCTCATTTCGACCACATCTTCACAGCCAAGTCACATAGTCAAAAAACATGTTTGATTACTTTTGATCAACCTCTTTATTCTAAAGCACGTGAAATGATATCTGCGCCAGATGCTAGCTCGGAAATATTTAAAATAGTGGTTATACTAGGAAGATTTCATATATGCTCATGTCATTTCTTGGATGCATAGGGTACATAATCGACGGAAGTGGACTCAAGGAAGCTCTAGGTGAAATATATGCTACTAATTCTATCGACAAAATGTTGAATGGTCACGCATATTCAAGGAGTATCACAGGTCATACACTATTACGACTTGCATTATCAATGATAATTTTTGAAGACATGAAAATTGAAGTTTGTGCGTTAATTGAGTTAGCTGAACAAATAACTTGCCGTGATGTTTCCTATCAAGATATGGAAGGTTGTGTAGGTAATTCGTATTCATTTGTTGGTCAATTTCATGATAAACTGAATGAATTAATGGTATCGATAGCGCTAGCTGAAAGACTGGGACTTTTCAAAGAACATCTTGATGCAGTGTTAAAAATGCTGCCGTACTTTCACGCTAGTGATCTCTTTTTATATGCGAAATCTGCTCATTTAAATCTTCAAGATATGGTGAATTTGGAAAATGTAATGGATAAAGAGACTTTTGAGAACCTTAAAAATGGATTCTTCACTGTAAAACGAACACAGAAAAATTCAATTCCGGCACATGAACTGATATGGTAATTGAACAAAGTCTTATGAAGTCAATGAAGACAGATGGGGGAATATATCGAGATCGAAGTAATCAAGAAAGTGTTTTATGTAAATAGGTGTATTCTATGTATGCTACAAATACAGTTTGTGAGAAAATTCAGAAGTTCTGCGACATTTCGATTGGTTCTGCTGAACAACACGTTGATTCTAGAACAAAAAGAAATAACATTGATGTAAGTTTCAAACAAAAAGTGTCCTAGACTTTATGGCCTGCAATTATTATAATAAATGTTAACATGATTGGAGCAATACAAACCAATATAATCCAATGATATTCCAAGTTGCGAGACTTGCAAATGAAATTTAAGTTCTAACCAACATCTAGTCATGTTTATGTTCATTGTAACACGTGCAAACCACCGCGTAGTCGGATAGACTCTCTTCCCGTTTTTAGAGGCAGCCGTAGCATTTTTCTGATGGGAATTTTTTCAGAAAAAAAACGGAGATGTCATTTCTGTTGAATACTTGTGTATTATGCCGTCCCATCTTACCCAGAATTTCTAAATTACCCTGCAATATACATCCACACCACAAAGTTCCCTAAAACCCCAATGGACCAAGCACGTTTTCAGTTTGCGCTTTATACAATGGGACCCAGCAATAACTTGGAATCCTGTTGTTTAAAAATATAAAATTGAAACGTTCTTGATCTAAAACCATTAAGCACCAGCTATGTCAGTCTTTGACGCGGAATTTATTCGTCGAGATAAATGTTTTTCCTTTATTGTAGGTTTGATGATTATTGTACATAGAGGATAAGTTTTGAAAAACGAGCTTAATTTCGGCGGGGCAGATTGTCTCGCTTTCGGATTCGAGCGTAGGAAATTCTCACCGTCGTCAATGGCCGTAAAGTATCCCTGTAAACTATGGATATATTTTTTTTTCACACTGTTTCAACGGGAGAATCAAGTTGATCGTTGCTGCGGCAGAACGTTCTCGAGCCCCGGCAGAAAGAAGCCCAACGTTTCATTGTGGACAAAGCCCTCACCACACGAGGGTTTTTGAATTTACTGGAGTAGACGCCGATTCAGACCTTTGTCGAGTCCGAGTGCTAGTTTAACGGCACCATTTTCTGCTTTGCACGACGTAGATTTCTGGAGGTTCCCTATTCTGAGAGTTCTGAGCCATTTGAAACTTATGTTTTTTTCCCACACGCTACTCGACCTTGGTTGTTTCTCCAGAGATGGGTGGCGGTTGGTCGTAGGTGCCGGAGTGAAAATTGGAACAACAAAGGCACTTGCATATAATTTACAACTTGGCATTTATTATATTTTAACCCCTTCGCTCCCCGTGTCTTAAGGTCGATATAGGTAAAGTAATAACCTCACGGTGAACCAGTAGAAATCAGCAAACGTTACACACAAGTATTATGAAAATAAACTAATTGGCAATACTGTTGTGCATTCTCAATTTACGTGAGATTACTAGAAAGTATTCATCAGCTGCTGATAAGCCACAGCCTTATCCATATAGAGCAGAATAACTTCCCAGGTTTTTACAGTTTCATCGAACTCGTCAATATTGGGTTTCTGACTTCGCACCATTGCAATTCTAAACTTTAGTAACTAACGGAAAACCAGGATTAGTATTTTACAACTTTTGGCCCTTTAACAATATAGGTATATAAGTCTGCATTAATTTTAAGTTGTCATTTCGTTCGAAACAACTGTATAGTGTAAACTTCTGTTTTAAAATACCCCGTTTTTTGGGAAAAAAGATAGCTCTTTGGAAACAAGGGGTTTCATCGTCGAAGCTAAAACTGCTGGAATGAGAACGCGAGAAACTGTTGCAGCAACTACTTTATCTGTAAGGTTTTGCATTTTTAAATATTACTGTAACAATACGTTACTTTTAGTAAACGTATTTTGAAAAAAGTAAAATGTATATAATTTATTTTATTTTTTTTTTATGAATTTTGAAATTCATAAAACAAATCTCATTTTTATCACTTGAATACTTACGTCTTAGTTGTAATAACCTTTTCAAGTCAACAAGAACTGTGCGTTATTGGGTTACCAAAAACAATAACGGCTTGAATTTACATACACTACCACGAATGGGTAGACCGCGCATAACAAATGTAAATGTTGCAAGGATCCAATTCGAATTTTTAAATTAAAAAATTTTTGCCTCCCCGTACACTTCTTGTTCACCACACCGTGCAATAGGTCGTATTTTTATTCTGCGCTTTTCTGCGCCTTTGTTGACTTTCGACTTTTTAGTGCCGAAACTGTCCTTTTGGAAAGCCAACCAGCCCCCTTGAGCCATCAGGTGATCCTATCTTCTCATCCTCAGCACAACATCGGAGGACCGTAGCCGAAGAGGTCCGACGAGGGCGCTTTGACCCCCGCCGAGATGGCCGCATGGTTGACTTCTTCATTAGGAAGTACAACCTCCTGCGATTATTAATGCTAGCGGACAGCGAAGTCGAAATCCTGGACGACTTAATGAAGCTGTTCCCGGACAACGTCGGGGGCATGTGGTGCATGCCCCCACGTCGAGAAAGGTTTTTGGCCAAGGCCCAGGAGTTCCTCCTTGGATATGGGTCCGCACATGAATAGAAAGACTCTGACAGGAGGTCGCTCCGTCGGAGACCTGAGCCCTAATCACTTCGACGTAGGCGTCGGGACGATTCCCGGCCAAGCGCAACCACAACATTTCCAGTTTGAAACTTTAATCTTACCGCCATATAACCAAACAGGTTAATAGGACAAAGTATCAATCCACTGTGGATAGACGCCAGAAATTTATGCCTCACTTCTTCACATCTTGGAGAGAATTACAACGAACCACAGTGGGTCAAAGTTGGGAAATCTTGGCCAAAAGTCCAAAACTGCAACTCTTCAAAATCATTTTAATCCATTAACGCCCAGCGTTACCATATGGTAACGCTTTCAGGTCGATAATTTTGCCATCTGTATTCAGTGGTTACAAGATTTTACTTACAAATGGCGACACTCATGTGTCCACTAGTCAATATTCTTTATGTAGCATTACGTTTACGTACTCTACCACGTGCTTTTTGTTGGTTGTGAATTTTTAAAATATCGTGTCGTGAACGGCCATGGATTTCAAGCTTGTGTGAGTAATATTTTTCTTTTGCGGGCGTAAATTTTCCGTTTCATAATGGATTTCAATAGTAAACTAATGTAGTTTTATGATGTACATAACACTGGTTATCAATCACAAATATAAATCACATAATAGGGCACATTTTTCTTGCGTTACCAAGTGGTAACGCTGGGCGCTTGCATTACCTATATTTGCTATATATTACAGAAGGGGCCTAACGTTGGAAGAGGCAATCAATATTGCCTATGACGACGACAATGTCCAAGATATTTATATTGAGCCACCAGAACAAGGTTTCGTCACCGATGAAGATTCGGGTGAAGAGGATGCTGGCGGTCTAATAGATAATTTATCGGGTTCTCAGCTCCGTTCTCAAGCAGAACTTAAAATTATAACTACAACGGCAGGAAATGAAGACGAAATGTTGGAAGAAAGAGAAACCGAGATTACACCTACAGTTGCTTCGCCATCAGTATGGGTAGATGGAGATCTTGTGCAAAATGGTCGTGCGTTTGTAAGTGGTGACTATTCGAAATATAGAAACCAAAGTTGTGTAGAACTTTTTGAAATGTATTTGGACAATGAAACTATAGATTATTTGATAAAAGAAACGACACGTTATGCATTGTTTAAAAATTGCGCTGATCCAGCAATAACAAAAAACGAATTGAAGTGTTTTCTGGGGATTTTAATATTGAGTGGATACAATCAAGTTCCAAGTAAAAGACACTACTGGGAAAATAATGGTGACATGAAGAATGAATTAGTCCGCAATTCAATGAGACGCAATAGATTTCTCGAAATTATGCGCTTTATACACTGTGCAGATAACACCACTCCTCAAGTCCAAGATAAAGTTTGGAAACTTAGACCTTTAATGGATCTTGTAAAAAATAAATGCTTGAAGTACTTTGAACCTGAAGAATGTCTAAATTACGATGAAAGCATGGTGAAATATTTTGGACGTCACTCGTGTAAACAATTCATTCGCGGAAAACCCATTCGTTTTGGTTATAAGATGTGGTGTTTAAATACTCCGGATGGTTACTTGGTTAACTTTGACATGTATCAAGGAAATAATCCTCGTCGCCATATGGAATATGAACGATGTTTTGGAAAATCATCTGCTCCATTTTTACAAATGCTGGATGAACTCCCTATTGAAAAAAAGCAATATCCGTACAAACTTTATTTTGAAAACTTGTTCACAGGATTTGCGATGTTGAAACATCTAAAAGAACGAGGATACGACGGCACGGGTACAATTCGTGAGAATCGTATTCCAAAATCTTGTCCCCTACCTAAAAAGAATATTATCAAAAAAAACAAAACGTGGCACTTATAAATCCTCATTGGACAAGAACAATGCGATTATAACAGTAAGTTGGATGGACAATTCTGTTGTAACAATTGCGTCCACTTGCCATGGAGTAGCTCCTATTGGGCAAGTACAAAGATATTCCCAAACTGAGAAGAGAATCGTCAATGTAGGAAGACCAAACCTTATACAACAATATAACTCATATATGGGGGGCACTGATAGGATGGATGAAAATATTGCGGCTTACCGAATTGGCATAAGAGGAAAAAAGTGGTGGTGGTGCTTATTTCTCGTAGATGTTTCTGTTCACAACGCCTGGCAGATTTACAGAAAATGAGGTCGCAATATTTCTCAACTGGATTTTCGACGTGAAATTGCCACCACCTATTTGAAAAAATATGGAAAACCAGCAGCGGCACCAGGGCGTCCATCAACTTCCAAATCAAGCAGTAGTTTGAATAGAGTTTCAGATGAGATTAGATACGATGAATTTTCTCATTTTATAGTGGCGACGCCAGGAATTAAAGAAGAAGATGTGCTATGGAGGGTTGTTCTTCATCGGTGCGCACAATGTGTAGAAAGTGCGATGTGGGACTGTGCATAGAATGCTTCTTACTATATCATACAAAGTAAATTGGTAATTTTTTCTGAAATTTTAAAGTAAAAATTTTTGTAATTTTTGACCCCATGAACGCTTAGCGTTACCATATGGTAACGGTGGTTTTTCCAAAAAATACAAGTCAAAAAAATTTGTGATTTTTTTTCTGTGGACTAAATGAATATTTAAACAACATATGTGCAATTTAGCAAAATTGCAAACAAAAAAATAATTCGGGCGTTAATGGGTTAAAATTCATATTTCTATAAAGTACATATTTCGACTAAGTAGGGGTGCAAGTGCCAGTATGATTCATCCACTTGCACTCGACCGACAGCTTATAATATTCAGCCTTCTTGAGTGGTCGAGTTGTGACAAATTACGGCAGATATCGCAGCGGTGTTGAAAGTATTTTTTTTTTACAGTTTGTGATTACGTCAGTGGTAATTGTTAACAATGTCTGGAACAATCAAAGGTAGGTGGTTCATTACGTATATTTTTTTCAATATAAATAATAATTGTTTACATAGTTATGTGTCATTAAAAACTACATTGTGCGTTAGCAAAGTTTTACACAATTTCATTTTTGATTGCGCCCACACTTTTTTTGGTGCAAGGTGGCGAATTCGTTTTTGTTCTAAAATATAGCTTCATATATGTTTAATAAAATACTACAAAATTAATTGCTACTTCCTGCAACTTTTAAATATACGTTTTTTTTTTCGCGAGAGTGCAGGTACATATCACACAATTAAAATATATATTCTATTTTAAAATTTACGTTACTTGCAGTTTTATTGGTTTCCATGTATCATTATTAACTTATGAATTACAAATAAATAAACAGTTTTAATGAAAAATAACCCATAAGAGTTGTCTCACCGCTCCTTATTCAGTAAGAAATATCTTTAAAAAAATGTGTCTTAATATTTATTAAAATTCTATATTCATTTCTGTTGACGGGTATATTTAACAATGATTTATAACATGCTTTCACTTTTCAGGTATGCCTTCATACAAATATATTGATCTGTATAAGATCTGGCACGAAAAAATTCGGGAAAATCCTAAAACTAAGTGTCATTATGTACAAACTACTGTGTTATCGCAGTTGGACGTGAGAAAATTTTCGGAAGAAAATATTAAGCAAGTTCGAAAAGCGCTTTATAATTTATGTGTCGAAATTCTAAAAAGATGGAAACGGAGCAATAGAACTGAAAAACGTTTTTTACAAAAAAATGCAGAATGGTTAAATAAGGTTTTTCATTTTCCGCTTGAGTATTTTGAGAAAGTTCCATCAATCGAGGAAGATTTACCAACGACATCGGGCTTGGGACGACCTCAAAAAGCGTTTGAACAAAGCAGCGAAAGATCAAAACGAAGAAAAACTCAACAATTACGAGAGAACACAAAACCGAAGAGCTGGTCTATGCTACGAAAATGAGTTTACGCTCAGCGGGAAAAACAGACGCGGCTCAGTTGCTCAAAGAAGCTGTAGATACAACACCAACAAGGGCAACCAGAATTAGAAAAGCATGGCAAAAGAGAAGCACTGTGGAATCGTATACCCCAGAAGAAGCTTTGTCTCTATTTATTGAGACAAAATTAACCAAAAGTCAATACATGAAAATAAAAACACAGGCAAGATTAAAAGGGGCAAATATCTATCCTAATTATCAGAAACTAAAAGCTGCTAAGGAACAGTGTTATCCACAAAAGGAATTTATTTTTATTTCTGAATCAGTTGCAGAAGTAAAACTGCAAGCTTTGCTGGATCGCACAGCTTCTCGTTTAGTACAAGCGCAACAGTCGGTAATTGATTCAATCTCCAAAGACATATATGAGCTAATTCTAATTTATAAATGGGGTTGTGATGGCAGTACCGGACACAATCAATACAAACAAAAGTTAACGGCAGGTGTCAGTGATTCCGATATGTTTCTGACGTCCCTAGTGCCCATACAGTTGCATTTTGCGAAAGAAAAAGCAACTGTTGTGTGGCAGAATTCGCGACCGTCATCGGTTAGATACTGTAGACCAATTAAAATACAATACAAAAAGGAAACCACCAGCTTATCCCAGGAGGAAGTCAATTATATAGAAAAACCAATAGAGCAACTTCAACCGACCGTCATCGAGTTAGATAATAACAGAACTGTCCATATCACGCACAGATTATTTTTAACAATGATCGATGGTAAAATATGTAATGCTCTAACATCGACATCTTCCGCCCAAATTTGTTACGTTTGTGGAGCGAAGCCAACGGAGATGAATTGTCTGAACAAAATTATAAAAAAAACTAGTGATGTGACTAGACAGATTTGGTCTATCAACACTCCATGCCTGGATTCGTTTTTGAGTGTTTTCTGCACATATCGTACCGTCTGGAATTTAAAAAATGGCAAGCGCGAAAAGAGGATCAAGCGAAATTGACAGCAAAAAAACAAGAAATACAGCAGCAGTTTAGAAACGAAATGGGTCTGTTAGTAGATCAAGTCAAACCCGGAGGTAGTGGAACCACAAACGACGGTAACACGGCTCGTCGATTTTTTCAAAATTATGAAGACTCCGCACGAATAACCGGCATAAATGTCAATCTGCTGAAACGATGTGCAGTTATTTTGCAAACACTATCCTCCGGATTTGCCATAAATTCTGCAGCATTTCGTCAATATTCGATAGAAACTGCACAGCTGTATTTACAAGAATATTCTTGGTACTACATGCCAGTGACCATGCATAAAATCCTGATCCATGGTGCCGACATTATTAGGACATCAATTTTGCCTATTGGACAATTGTCCGAAGAGGCGCAAGAGAGCCGTAATAAGGATTTAAAATATTTTAGAAGGAGTCATACCCGGAAAACTTCAAGGGAGCATACAATTGAAGACTTATTAAATTTTCTCTTAGTTTCGTCAGATCCTCTAATTACGAGCTTACGACCACAACCTCGAACAGTTCGGAACAAATTTTATGAAGACGTTTTTCAATTAATCATTCCACCAACAAAATTGGAACAACCAGAATCGTCAGAAGAAGTAACTAGTGAATCTGATGAATCTTTTAGTAATACTCAGAGCGACTTTGAGAGTGATTATTAATTAAGTGATTATATGGCATGTAAATAAAGTATTTTATTTCCTAATGTGAGATATTTCTTTACGAAATTTTTGAATTTAAACTTAAATATATTTGACATACTAAAATGCGGCCTGCAACCAAGTTCCCCACCTGGTTATAATCGGTTCTGGTGGCAATGGTATGTAAATGGTTCATTTACTCAAAAGTTTCTATTGGAAAAATTTGAAGGTAGGTAGTTGGGTGCAATAATCCTTTTTTCTAGAAAATCTTCAACGATCTTGCCGCAAAATGCCGAAAAAGAACATCTGGTTACAAGCTTTAATCCATTATTAAAGGAAGTAAGGATTTAAATTCATAAAATCTATGGAGTATTTTTCAAATCCTATAATAAAATTTTATTACCGGAACGTATTCACAGAAAGGGTCTTGAGTAAGTGTCTTTCAATGGTCAAGTGCAGGTAAAACCCATACGATACGATACGGCTAACTAACAAGTATTTATCATCCCGGCAAGGTCGGCATTTGAACATAATATGGATTAAAAATCATATTCGTCAAAAAAAGCATTAGATAAGCATATAAGTTTTAATATGCATAAAATTGAAAAAAAGCAAATAAGCATAAAAAAACAAGTGTCAAATGACTCCAAATTGTATCATAATTACAGATATAAAAAAGTTTTCAAGTGCTTACATTTTTCACAAAAAGCATTAAACCTAGAAATCCGCTCTCTAATCATACTGATTACCCAAAATTGCAATATTGGGGACAGAAAGGGAAAATATTTTCTTTTTTTGCAAAGCAGACGTTATTTTTTTGTGAGATTTGGCATTACTAAAACGTCCTCGGCTATCTTTTGGTAAAACCCAGCATAATTGGGGCCCATCGTTCACCAACCCACCCTCTATCACGCAATGAGTGATTTGTGACGGTTTTAGCGAACTTCTGTAAAACCCGAGCCTGCTTCACTTGTTAAACCGGATATGCCAAGGGCATCCCTTTGTCGGCAGTTATTCTTCTTGTGAAAGGAAGTAACAATTTTCACTCTATGAAATATTTTTACTTACCACATTTTGTATCGACGACTGTCCAAATATTATTATCTTACACAGGAATTTTTGTTGAAACTGCATACATACTTGTATGATTATTGAGCCATTGAACCACAATTCGATTTACAGTAAGTTTATCTTAAAATCTGTACTTGGTAACAAGAAGATACTGTCCATTTAAATTTCTCTTTAAAATAAACCGCCATTTTAATTAATTGAAGTCTGACTACTGATTAATTATTGATCAGTGACCTTTAAAATGCATTTCCACCAAATTTTGTAAATATTGATACATGTATCGACTTTTGGCCAGTTATTTTCGATTTTGACCCCCTGTGCGAACCCACGAAATTTGGCAAAACGCATAGTAAATGCAGAATTCAAAGGCGATGTTGCTACTGGATAGGGCATAGAGAAAAAACAACAATTTAAAAGTAAAAAGCTGCGGTCTTTTTTTTTTTAAAATGTCCGTATTTAGATGCCAATCCAGATAGTCTAAACGACGAAGATAGTATGGTTGAAATAAAATGTCCGTATGAAATTGGTTCGTTTAAATTGGACCTCAGTCCTAGTGAAGCGGCCGATCGAAAAATTCTACCA